GCAGTAGACAGGGAAAACATGGTGAGACCACTAGATAATTGGACTCGATCTAACTGAAACTGCAACAGGTTTTCAGTGTATGTACTGAACAACACGGGCGTTAGAATTCCATGGTTAACTGAATTTACTGAACAACACGGAGCTTCCTTGGCCACCTGCGCCTCGTTCTGGCTGTCGTTGCCGGTCCCAATCCCCACGGAATAGTACACCGCCTGCGCGTGCTCCTCCGTCTCTGTCGTCGGGAGCAGTAGCCGTGGCTCGCCCTGGTACTTGTACCGCTACCGGCGGCCAACAGCAGGGCGAGCACGGTGGCACCACAGCAGGGCGGGGTCGCCGGTGGGGAAGGTGCTCGCAGGCTGCGTCGTCGTCCTAGACCTGCGTCGTCCTCGAATCTCCATCGCGGGTGGGGAAGGGCTCGAATCTCCGTCGTCCTGCCGTGCTCGCCCTGCGTCGTCTTCCTGCCGTGCTCGCCCTGCGGATGGAGATGGCGGAGCTGCGACCCTGCCGGACGGGGACGGAGATGGCGCCGCGGACAGAGAATCAGAGACGAAGCCCTGGAGAAAGTCACTGGGTACGCGCCTAGGCGGTGAGGGAACGACCACACGAGCTGGCCCAAGCCAGACTCCACAAGAACGGCCGAATCCGGGGTTCAACCCGGGCCAGGCTTAGACGTGGCCAGCCCAAGCCAGGCCTCAGCCCTCTTACAGGCAATCCTTCCCCTCACCGGGACCCTTACGATGGGCCAGCATAGCAGTCCACAGTGACGCAACGATGGGCCACGAGCCCACGACCAGTTTTCCTATTTTGATTCTGTCCAACTAGCGAGCGCGGAGTGGACCTGTTTCTCTGCTGTTTGTCGGTTTCCCCTGTCTACCCTTCGGTCCAACTAGCGAGCGCTGAGCGGGTCTGTTTCCCCAATGCAGCTTCCTCTCAGCTTGGCCCGTTTCTCCTGTATGACTGGGCCCAAAATACTTTCGCGGCGCCTGTTACTTCTTCTAGACAACGGGTGCGGGGGAGAAGAAACGGGCGGGAGGAATATTTTTTTTCACTTACATACGGATGTGAAGTAGATTTTTAAAATGTTGTTTTAGGAGTGACAAAAGGACAAGATATATAAAAAAGCTCGATCTGCGGTGGCTAGACAACCCTAGATATTCCGGTTTAAGAAGAACGTTCGCTTGGCTAATAAGCCATAGCTGAAAGTAGTGTTGGCTGATTTGTTGTGACAGAAAAATACTGTTCGTTCGCTGAAAAAGTACGGCTTATAAGATAAGTGAACAGTGCTGAAGATCTTCTCACACAGATTGAGAAACCCCTAAATTCCTGCCCTACCCTTACATAGCGGCACCATCACTCTATGAGATAAGCTAACCACGGACCTGTGCTTTGGATGTAGGGGTCCTCCCTCTCCTGCTCATTGAGGGATTCGAACTCTGACCACCAATCGGCCGGCCGGCCGTTCCCCAAAAGACAAGATATATAAGAGTTGAAAAATAGCATAAGTTGTTTTTCTTTACTGAGATACTGACGTGTTTGTGTCAGGGCATGTATTCGAAGGGCAAAACAAGAGTACAAAGAAGCAATAAAAAAACTGCATAATTTACGATCTTTAATTGTAGGAGTTGCCCATAACGCCCTGAAAAGCTAGATAAGAAATGAGGAGGGAATTGATGAATAAAATAGATAAAAGAATATGGGTACATACTTAGAACTACCTGCATTTAAATAAAGTTTAAAAACCAAAAAAATAGATATAAAAACCGTGTTGCTTGTCTCTGTTACGTTGTCGCCAGGGACTCCATACCTCCCCACAACTTGCTGATCTTAGAGCAAGTATATATAGTAAAAGACTGTCGTGGAATACATGCTGAGGTAAGAGAGGAGAGGAGAGGAGAGAGAAGAGAAGCAGGCTACGAGTTTACAGCCAGCCTAGACATAAGAACTAAGTAATTGTGAGAGAGACAAGTTAGTCATATGTGACCCAGCTATTATATAGGTGAATTGATAGATGGAATGTTAGTGTCCATACAACTAGCAGAGGATCGTATTATTAGCCTCGCTCTTAGAAGAGGATTGGGGTGGGAAGGGTCCGAGAGAGAAGAGGAAAGCACGTGTCGCTAGTGCACATGGCACACACGCACCAAATAAGAATTTGGTGGTGGGTGTGATTGGTTACCTCACGACCTAGTACATTCCAATTGTCTGTTTTTTTCTAAAATCCGTTTAAGTTATTTAATTTCCATGTTTATATAGGTGAAAAGATCTAAGACTTCAGCTCCAAGAAGTGCATGATAACTTGGTTAGTTACATTCTTCTATAGTTGTTGCTACAAAATTTACTATCCTTAATTTCGAAAAGGCTATTGCCTGGTTTTCTTCACTCTCTTATTTTATTTGCACCAGGACGGAATGCTTCAAATGAATGAAGATTATAGATGGATTAGCTAATCAACTAGTTTCTAGAACTTATGGATATCTACATAATGCTTGTATAGATTTGTTTTTGCTACTTAGAGATATAGCTCATTCACTATGTTACAGTTCTATGGAGGTTTGCCTCTGTTATTAAGTGCACTTGTAATACAAGTATGTTGCTTCTATGAAGTGTGATGCACAATTTTACGCTTTTGTTGTTTATTTGCTAAAGCAGCATGTCTTATTCTTTATGTGAATATGTTTAAAAATGGTCTAATATTTACACATAAAATATGTTTATGTTAGTAGACAAGAATATAAACATATCTGCAAAAATGTGTCAATTATTCCTTAGCACACAATAAAATGTTACTACACAACGTGACTATACATTAGTAGACGTGTAACATAGAAGTATATACAGGAGCATTTCTACATGCGTGTAAAGCATATCAAAGCTCTTAGACACATTTAATAGTTGTGTTTACAAATCTTGACACGATATGGTGTAGACACGATAGGAGCGTGTCTATGAAAACATCAAAGCCTCTAGACATGTTTCCTTATTTGTATCTATAAATCAAGACATAGTCCATAGGGAAATGCTCCATACACGCTTTAAGATTATCTATTGGAGCGTAGAAAGTGGTTGAGATCAACATGGCTAGAGCTTGACCATGAGTGGTTGCTCACGGCTTGTCTACTCAGTTGTGTGTGTTTGTGAGTGCAAGGACACTATGCATAAGTTGAGAAACACCCCCAAAAGGCTATACAACATCTTGATTTGGATCAGACGAGCAGGGGGAGCAAAAATATAATTCATGCAGATTTTAGAAAAAAACCGGCCTAGACCGGTTTTGCAGGATAACCAGACCATGCTGAAGAAACCAGCCCTGGCCGGTTGTCAAAGTTGACAACTTTTGTGTTTTGTTGTTTTTAACTGCTAATTTCTCTTGAAAAGTTCTGTAGGCCTATTCAGTCTCGTCTAGACATTGAATCATTTCAACTTTAACAATGAAAATGAATGATGCAAATAATTATATTAATAAAGTTTGGCCAAAATAATATGGCAAACACTAGTGTAACCTAACCCCTAGACTCAATGGTCGAACTTAACCCTAAGTCTAAGTGTTAAACTATATTTAAAACTATTGTAACCTAAACCAATGTACTCCCTCCATCCCAAATTGTAAGACGCTTGATTTTTTTGCCCTAAGTTTGACCATTTGTTTTATTTAAAAAAATTGTGCAAATATAGTCAAATTTAAGTCATTCTTGAAGAATTTTTATTAATAAACCAAACCACGACGAAAGAAGTGATATTTTACACAAATTTTTGAATAAGACGAGTGGTCAAACTTGGGGCCAAAAAAGTCAAACGTCTTACAATTTGGGATGGATTGAGTAGGTAATTTAATCTAAACTAATAGTACTTGAAAAAATAGTGTAAAACCTAAATAGCTAGGCAAATACTTCAGTCTATATAGTCGCTATTTAAAATTAACTAAGCTAAATCTGAAGCCTAAGTAATGTAGAACCCAAAATAATAGTACAACAAAACATGCAATTTAGAAATGACTAAAGTAAATCTAATTCTAAAGTCACGTAAAACCTAAAATAATAGTAAAAGAAAATATGCAATTTAAAACTAAATAAAGCAAACTAATAATGCCTAAATATACTATCTATATGGTCATTATTTCTAAAATTTAATACCTATGCAAACACTATAGTTGCCACCTCATATTACTTCTTAAAACTAAATCTACAAATCATAAATACGAAATAGAAGTTAGCATGATGTATTTCGGTAGAGCTTTGCTACTCCAACAACTCCCTAGTCTCTTCTCTGCTTCTCTCGTCCTCTTCTCTATTTTCAGATATAAAAATAAGATTTTAGGTCGATTTTTGACCCTTATATACCCAAGAAGGTGCAAATAGAAACAATACGAAATTGGAAAAAAACCGAAAAAATAAATAAATATATTGGGCCACCAGCACCCGAACACACACACACACGAAACACTTCCCATTGAGTCGTCTCGGCGCGGCGTGGAGGGGGTCTGCCACTCTGCCTCTTCCTCCGACGACCTCGCCGCGCGCCGCTCCGCCGAAGACGAGGCTCCCTCTGCCGCGCAGGTAATCTAACTCGACCGCACCTTCGTGTTGTTATATGGGTGGAGTTTCGAGCGGAAACCGCGGCGCAGCGGGGTGATCACGGTGTGCGTGTGAAGCGGTGGCGGAGCTGCGGCGCGGAGGGTAGGGACAGGGCCGCGCGAGGGTTTGCTGCTGCTACAACGCGCTGGCGCGGGGGGGAATATGCGGCTGGTTGCAGCCAATCGCTGAGAGATTGGGGTTTCCAGTGCTGTGGTTGGGGCGTCTGAGAGATTGCTCGGGTTTCTGAGTGCTGTGGTTGGGGTTCCTGGTGCGTGTATTGAGGGGAGAGCGCGTCCAGTAGCGGGGAAGTGGAAGCCAACACCGCGCGGCGAGTCGGCGACCAGCGCCGCGGCGCGCATCTGATCGAGTTGGGGTGGCGCGTTTGGGTGTTCGTGCAGTCGAGCGCCATGGGCGGCGCCACTGCGGTTGATGAATGATAACCACGGTGCGCGTCCAGGCAAGCAAGTTGCGTGGCGTGTGGGGATTGGGGAATGATTTTTCTAGGAAAAGGGAGGAAAGAGGTGCAACGTTTGTGTTGACTGGTTAACACTTCTAGTTTTGCTTTCAGGTATGAAGAAGGATCCATCCATAATAGAGAAGATTCAGAACTTCTTCAGGGGCATAATCACTAGTGTTCTGAAGACTAAGAAAGACTATGAAAAAGAATGTGAGAAAATGTCTGCAGAAGAGGTAATATAAAATTCAGACTGTTAGTTTCATTTTTGGCATTAAATTAGTAAGCATTGAATTTGTCGATTCTATTATAGATGTTTGGTTGTGTCTTGTGTGCAGAAACAAAAGGAAAGTGACAAGAGGATGGAGGCCTACAAAGCCCTCTGCCTGGGTGGCCTGACAAGCATGTACTGGAAGGATACAACATCCCTTCTAAACAAAGTCAGGGCGATCAGTGGACCATTTGCTTCAGTACTATCTGAAGGCTTTGCCATTTCTCAGGCAGGGATGCTGATTGGCATTGCCGCATCCTCATTCCCCAAGTCGTCACCTTGGGCACTTGCTGCTGCTTCAAATGGATCCCTGTTTGCAGTTTTATTCAACATTGCAGCATTTCACCTTGAAATCTTTGAGTTCCTTCCTGCCATTGTACTGCTGATATCCTGGGTACTGTTTTCCGTAGCATTTGCAGCGTACTGGTGCGTTGGCTCTCAGGACCTCACGGTTAGTTATACTATTGTGCTTAACTTAAATTAGATTCTGTGTTCAGATTTGTTGCTTGAGTTTTTGATAGAAAAAAATTTCTTGTCTAAATTTGATTTTGTGTTGATAATTGTTGCTAATGCTAAGCATGTTTGTTCAGATTGTCAGACTGCTATACAAGTTTCTGTCCATTATCGTGTATTGCGTGCTGTTCATGCTCAGGTTTGTGTACTAGACACTTTTTTTTTTGAAAAGTTAAACCTCCTGGGATCTTACTACCCCAATCGATGTTTTCTAGCACATTCTTGATATTACAAGTTTATGAGCATGTTATATGATCAGGCACTTGATCTTCCTCCCATTCAACTTGTGTGGATGGGCTCTTTCTAGAATATCGAATGTCATAGGTAATAATTATTATTACAATGTTTCTTGTCTTTTTTCTGAATGCAGACTATCTAACTATAGCTATGATTACTTCAGGTCTTGTTACCGGTGCTGGTTTCTCAAAAGAAGCATTGAGGGATCGACCCAGGCAGGCTGCTATCAACAGGTGGTATGATCCCTTGGGAGCATTGAGGAATAGACAGAGGCCACCTGCCACTACCTTAGAGGAAGAGAATGTTTAGGGAACGTGCTGTGCAGTTTTGTAGAGGTGAGAATCCCTTTTTGCCAAATGCATCTCTCCTTTGTCCTTTGATAAAAATAGGGAGACCAAATACTAAGGGCATCAACAATCTTTAGAAATAGGTGCTTTCTCATCCGATATCTTCGTCGAACCACAGATCTGTGTTGAGTGGATTCTCACAAAAATAGTAAGCAACCAATCGATTGTTGGCACCTTCACGGTCTGTATGCACATACCTCCTTAGTGAATCCTAGGCAGGCTGGTCTGTGCTTGAAGTCAAGCTTCAATTTTAGCTTCAATCCTGGACTCTAGTGGATCATTAATCTCTTCCCAAATAAGATCTTCAAGGTCATCACTATTGATGGAGGTACTTGAATGATCAGATTGGTCTTGAGCCTCTTCAGACATTTCCTCTCTTTGACCTGTGTTCCTCCTCTCTTTGAAATGCACACAGATGAACACAAAAGAATGGGTGTGGATGGATGCATTGTGGCCAACAGTTGTATTTGTAGATGGTGCTTTCCAACAGCTAGTTCCCGACGGCTCTTTTGGAGCTGCTCTGACACACACCAACAGCTCTTTTGTAGCTGATCTGACACTCACCAACAGCTCTTTTGTAGCTGATCTGACACACATCAGTGACACTTTTGGAGCTGTTTTGACACACGCCAATTTATGTTAGTTACTTTAGCTCATCATAACATTGACAATATATTAATAAGATGTGACAGTACATAGACATACAGTACTATAGTTTACATTTAAAACAAATTCTACTTCTAGTGCATGCTACATTTAAATCAAATACTACGGATTACACGTTGGCTGCTGGAAACAATTCCATAATCATCACACCTCCACATTAGCTGGTGGATACAGTTAAAGATCTCATCTAGTACTCCCTCCATCCCAAATTGTAAGTCATTCCAAGAATCTTGGAGAGTCAAAGTTTTTCAAGTTTGACTAAAATTATAGAGAGAAACACAAAGATTGATGACATCAAATAGGTATAATATGAAAATATAACTAATGAAGAATCTAATAATACTTACTTGGTATGATAAATATTATTATTTTGTTATATAAATTTGGTCAAACTTGAAAAAGTTTGACTCTCCAAGATTCTTGGAATGACTTACAATTTGGGATGGAGGAGTACTTGTTTGTGCCTCCTGAGCATGTCTTCATCATAGTTTATTGTATGTTTATATAACAAGTTTAAGTATGTGTTGTTCCTAGTATTCCTTGCCTTCTCACTTTGTGACGCAGCTAGCTTTTCCAATGCAGCAGATCTCCTGTCTACAGTAGCATTAAATTGGTCATCTTCCAAATTATTAGTTTGTTGTTTCTCTTTCCTCTTCCCTTTAGCTTTGCTGCCTTTTGTCCCACTGGTCTGGTTGGCCTGTTTGTGTCCAGTTCTTGGCTGCCTGGTTTGCCAGATGAGGTGTAATCTCTGGATTCAGAATTTTTGGTTCTTTTGCTGTGGTCACCATCCTCTATAACTCAAGACCACTTGGGTTGATCCTTGAGTTTTTTTTTTCCATAAATATTCAAATGTAAATGATTTACCCTTTGCTTCTCCTTTATACATCTCATGAACTTTGTCTATGAGCATGTCATCTGAATGGCCACTGGGCCAAGTGCTTATTGCTTGAGAATACACACCACTGAAATGTTTGATAGGCTTGCTAATTATGCCCCAGTGGCTTTTGCACTGCTTTGCTGATCTCCTTCTATCTGGAGGCAATGTGGAATTGAACTCTGCAGCCACATTCTTCCAATAGGAATCTGACTTCTGCTCATTTACCTTTAACTGAATCAACAGAATGCATTACCCAAGCACTAGAATAGATGTGGTCCTAACCTTGCTGTGTTGTTTGTATATATACAGGTGGAAGATGAGTTCAGCGGATAGAAAAAGAAAATGGGGAGAAGTTCCATTCTAACGACTAGAAGATGAAGAAAGAGTCGGTAGTTGGCTTTTGGCGGCAGTTGGTGGTTGAATGTGGACAGGGGAGTAGAGAATCCAAATATTGTATTTTAGCAGTTAAGGCCACACCGTATGTTTTTTTTTTGCCCTTAGGAGTTACGACCAAGGCCGCGGGGACGAGAATGTTTAGGGAACAAGCCATTTAATGAACTCGATCTTCAGCATAGAGTGTGTAAAACCCTAAAATTTCCATTTCTTCAAATAGAATTAAATTGATTTAATTAAGCATTTTTTTGCACATTTAAACCTAGGGAAAATAGTAATTTTATTGAATTAAAAATTCATCATAAGCCTAAAAACATGTTTATACATTCATGCTGGTGCATTGGTTTTATTGCATTGAGGGGTTTTATTAAAATTCAAAATTGATTTGAAATTTGCTTGAAAATGCCCTTGAAATTAAAAGGAAAAGGTATTTCTTTCTCTCCCTCCGTTTCTCTGTTTCTGGCCCAGGCATCAAGCCCAGCCTGCATCTTCCTCCCATCGCTTGCGAGGCCAGCCCAAAGCCCCCTCAGGCCCAAGCGCGCGCTCACCCTCTCTCCCTCAGGCCCAGCAGGCAGCAGGCCGGCCCGTCAGCGAGCCCACGAGGAAACCTGCACTGCTCGCGCGACCACCCTTCCCTGCACTCTCACTGCCGGCGCGGCCCCACACTCGCCCTCGCCGACATCCCGGGCCCAGCCGTCAGCCGCGTCATCTACTTCCGGCCGACGGGAGCTCAGCCGCCGACGCCACCGTAGCCGTCCGCCGTCTCTCCGCCGCCTCTAGCTTTTTGCCGATCTTCGTTTTGGGGTAAGATACCTTCCGGAGCTCTTGTGCTCCCTATCCCACGCTGTTACTCACGCTCGGTGTTCGCCAAAGCTTCGCAGGAGGACCGTAGCCGCGAAATCCTACGCCGAGCCACCTCCGTTCGATCCGTGACGCCAGAAACACCGTAGGTGAGTTCTCCATTGAGCTAGCTTCGCCTCGATGGAGATCCCGTCGAGTTTGATGCACGGAATCGCCGTCTGGAGATGACCGGCGAGCCCCCGGCCATGGCGTCTTCGCCGGCCTTCCTGTTCCGACCTTTCCCAAGCTGGAAACACCCCCGTACATTCTGCTTATCATTCTGCTTGGTTGCTATGTTACTCCTGAATTATTGGCAGTCAGTTGCTCTTCTCACATAAACAATTATGAAAATAATATAGATCAGTATCAAAACAGTCCACTATGGCAGATTGGTCTGTATCGTTGAATCCTGATTAATATAGCTGCCACTCCAAATCCCAAGCTATGAAGCAAATCAACAAAGCATTGAGAAGGGATGTACCAGAAAGTTAGTATAGTTGAGTGGCATAACAATACACATAGCCACCCTGTTCGCTTGTTGGTTTCAGTTAGGCTTATTCAATCAGTCAATAGTGTTTTTCTAAAAAAAAAAACAGCACCAGCACCAACCAGCGAACAGGGTGAGCGTCTACAATAATTTTCAAATATTAATGTTGTTGAACAAAAAACGCGTCACAGTCTACACAACCATGAGCACAATGCATCCCCATACTTGGCAATAGAATTTTGCTTACAAAATAATGGATTGAACTTTGGACAGTCGAATTCATCTATTTCATCAAAAATTCCTCAAACCCCTAGATTATGGCGAGCTAGAAATCCACAGGGGAAAGGAGAGGAGAACGTACCTAGGTGTGGAGGAGATCTTAGTGCAGTAGGGGATGTCCACGGGATGGCTTCACGACCTAGATCCAATCCAGAAGGGTCTCAATGGTGGATCGAGGTGAGGGGCATGCGGGAGGGGAACAGGCGGCACCGGTGTGAGAGGAGGCGTCGGAGAAGAGCATGTGGAGGCGGGGAAGGGAAGCTGTCAGCCTATCACCCGGAGCACCGTATGTGGCGACGAGCCCTTACTCGACGTCGACTATATCGATTATGCGTGACGCGTTTTGCCAAGTCTTCCGCTACATCGCGCGTCGGAAATGTATAATCTATGCATGATCATCTATATACAAGTAATCCTGTTTTACGCGGTATTTATTTTGTGTTAGTGAGTAGCCACCCGTGTTTCCTATAATCGAACAGTGTAGTCGCACAAAAAAATGGTGTGACTTTGAAAAATTAAATTAACCTGCATTTTCCTTGGACTATGTATTTGGTTTATGTAAATTAAAGTCGGTTATTATACATGAATTTAGCTAAGATACAGCCGAAAGAAAATTACCACCAACTGTGATAATTCAAGATAAATAATTGACAAGCTGTGGCAAAGTAATTATGCATAATTCTTAATTAAGTTGTGTACATTACTCATTTATTAAAAGCTTTTTTAGATACATAAATTCATTTTGCTATTGCATCTTGATGTACGTTATATCTATATACATAGTATAAAATCTATTGTATCTACAAAAAGGCAAACAACTTACAATTTTGGAAATGGAGGGAGTACAACCCAATATGTTCACTATTATTTATTCATCAGAGTTCTAGAACCGAACAAAAAACAAGCAGAAAGTTGTAACAGAACCGACCAACTATACGAAATTAAGTAAGAAAAACACCCGTCAGAGCAGACGATTTAGCAAACTTAAGCCCGTATAACCCGGTAGTCCGTGAAATCACGAAGGATTTCAAGCCAACTCACATACCAGCCAAGATCGTAATAAGTTTAGCGGTCACCATCACATATTACATAAAAGTTCGCATCACAGGTACATCAGAGTTTAAACATAGTTATTACAAAACGAGTTCGAATAAAAGTAGCGGAAGCCATTTGTTCAAAACCACACCCACTCACGCGGAGTTCAAATACAGTGTCAGCTAATGATCATCTCCAACAAAAGCATTAGACGAGACGTAAGGAATGACCATGCCCATGGTCCTAAGCATCATCCATCGCAGGATAAAGACAATTGATACAGTAGCCGTAATACATCTGCCCATCTGCAACAAGTGGGAATAAAACCCTGAGTACGAGAAGGTACTCAGTTAGATTTACCCGACATAACCGAAAATAAAGTGAC